TATATTTTAAGATTGACATATACTGTATTCTGTTTGATAGAATGATTCCCTTCATAACACTTCATATTGAAATAAATCTGTACGTGCATATGTGGTCAAAAGCAAAGATTTATGGAATAATACGCGCTCACCCACACACATACTTCTTGGTTGGTGAGCTTGTCCAAGTAGCATTACTGCATGACCGGGAGGCCGACTATGAAACACAAAGACATTGTGAGCCGTCTCTTTATTTAACCTCAACACATTCCTTCACACATGCCATAACCAAAACCACTTCAGTGTCACAGATCACATGACTGCAGCCAACTATTCCAGGTTATGTGAAAAATACAACAAAAAGGCCTCTTTCTTCATGATCTGGGTCAGAGTGATGAAGGCGACAGGACTCATAAACATGCCATTTATTCAGCTTTTTTGGCTTTCTAGACTAATGCTATCTTATAAATGACGATCTTAGTCATTGTGGTTCATTAATAACATGCAACTTCCAAGACAGAGTCAATTTTGTTAAATGCAATAACCAGCTCCAATCTGGAGTTGACCTGAGTTAACATTCAGAACAGAGCTCTATTGACTCAACAAAAGACAAAAGCAGCTGAAAGCAACTAACTCCATCCTGTTCAAAGACTTAGGGATCGACAATGAAATCGTTTAACTATAAGGCTTCTAATGTGATGAAGTATTGATTGCAGCCTTCGTATCCACCTCGACATAATCAAAAAGTTTAGTGCTGGAATCGAGTCCATTGCCGTTCACGCCAAACCGCTGCCACAACACAATGTCTGACCTATAAATATGCAATCCAGCTAACTGAGCTCTGTAAGAAGCTTACGGAGAAGCATATTCAGTTGGTATATGGGAATTGGACATTCAATTTCTTTGGTTTCCCTATAGAATAATGCAACAAAGCGGTGGACGAAGAAGCAAATGTGCAGTTTGAACAAAGATTAAAGCTATGTGGTGGAGGACAGAAATGAGATGAAGAAAATCACTTGAAAAAGTTCAGATGGCTAAATATAAATCTAACTTTATGTGCATCGTAAAAAGATTTCACATAAATGAACAGCAGTAACATGTTGTTGTAGATTAACCACTTTGCAAGAGGAAACCACAAGATTAATGGTCACTTCAAGAGCAAAACATTGGGTTTCCTCCACATTCTCTTCATAGGTCATGTACTATTTTGACTGAAACACTTCCAACGTCATTTGAGTACAAAACAGGGTCTGAAGTAATTATCATCCAGAAAATGTTAAAGTAAAACTACAAATTATACGTGCGGTGTTCATTTTCTAAGGAGGTTGCTATTTTTACAAACATGTTACCAACCTTCGGGATAGATTTGTGTGGTTCTATCTAGCATTTTAGCAATTAATAATAAAATAAAGATTATATTTAAAAAAGAAAGAAAAAGAAAAAACCCAAAGCTTTCATAGCTAGTTTGGGACCAATATTGCCTATATTTTAAAGAAACAACATAACATATCAAACATATAACGTAACAAAAATATAACATAACAAACATATAACATAACATAACCATATAACATATCAAACATATAACATAACAAAAATATAACATAACAAACATATAACATAACATAACCATATAACATAACAAACATATAACATAACATAACCATATAACATAACCATATAACATAACATAACATAACCACATAACATAACATAAACATATAACATAAACATATAACATAACATAACCATATAACATAACAAACATATAACATAACATAACATAACCACATAACATAAACATATAACATAACATAACAAACATATAACATAACATAACCACATAACATAAACATATAACATAACATAACCATATAACATAACAAACATATAACATAACATAACATAACATAACCACATAAACATATAACATAACATAACATAACATAACCATATAACATAACATAACCACATAACATAACATAAACATATAACATAACATAACAATATAACATAACATAACATAAACATAAACATATAACATAACAAACATATAACATAACATAACATAACCACATAACATAACATAACAATATAACATAACATAACATAACAATATAACATAACATAACATAACATAACATAAACATATAACAACATAACATAACATAACATAACAATTAAACATATAACATAACATAACCATATAACATAACATAAACATATAACATAACATAAACATATAACATAACATAACATAAAATAACCACATAACATAACATAAACATATAACATAACAACATAACAAACATATAACATAACATAACAAACATATAACATAACATAACCACATAACATAACATAAACATATAACATAACAAACATATAACATAACATAACCACATAACATAACAATATAACATAACATAACATAACATAAACATATAACATAACAAACATATAACATAACAATATAACATAACATAACATAACCACATAACATAACATAAACATATAACATAACATAACATAACCATATAACATAACATATAACATAAGTATTTGATACACTGCTGATTTTTCAAGTTTTCCCACTTACAAAGAATGGAGAGATCTGTAATTTACATAACAAACATATAACATAACATAACATAACATAACATAACATAACACATAAAATTAGTTTTGGATTACAGGGTTGAATTGTTGAGTTTGATTGTCAAAGAATGTCAAAATCCATGCATTTGATGCAAAACCACACTGTAAAAAATGATCGAAATGTTAACGGTAAAGATGTTCCTTTGCCGTATACGGTCCAAACCTGTAACAAATCGAACAGGACATTTTATGTAAACAGTCAAATAATGTAAAGTTTACAGTTTTTGGAAGTGAAAAAGAACAAGTCATCTTATAATTTACAGTGAAAAACGTAAATTGTCATTCCCAGAATTCCATGTGTGATGCTTCGGATCGTTTTTTTTATTTAAATAATTGTTTCCTCTAGTTTTTTCTTATCAGTTATGTACATTAAGTTTTTACATCACATCTTATGTTGTGAAAATAATGTTTATTTCATTATTTTTTAAGTTATGTTAGTCTTGTATTTGTGTGAATGGCATTGTGCAACTTCTATATATTAGCATTTACCTCCTCAGCTTGTGGAAATGAGTTTTGATTCATCGTGTGGCTTTCTCTTTATCACCTGTATTTTGGGGTATTTGTCAGTGTATTATAAAGCTACAAAACAGATTTTACTACTTCAGTAGGTTGGTATTTTAACATTATATAATTGAATGAAATATACTTTTTTTTACTGTAAATTCAAGTTTAATCCGTTAAACCTAAAATGCTGTCACCTCATTTTACTGTAAACGTTCTGTACAAAGTTATTTTTTACTGTACATTTCACAGATTTTTTTTTTACTGTAGCTACTTTTCTTTATATGTGAAAAGTATTTAGTGTATGCTAGATAAGAGTTACTAAGAGATACTAAATGCAGCTTTTACTCTTTAGATTTTTTAGCTTCCAGCCTTTTATGAAAGCTGACATGATGTAAGTCCATGTGTGCATCTACAGTTTAAATTATAAACAGAAGGAACCAGCTTGATAGGACTGATATCTACATTAAATCTCATGAGAGTAATTGTCATGGCAGATGATTACCTGCCAAGGGACCGCGGATGAAAACTAGCCATTGGCTAAATTCGGTACAATGCATGAAGTGGAAACATTTATGTTCAAATTGTGCATGGTCCCTTTTCAAAGAAATTTAAATAAATAAATAATGAAAACTGTAAACTGCTCTTACACAAAGTTAGCCTAAAAAACAACAGCAAAACAAAAAGAGAATCATTTAGAAAATCATTTACTTTTTTCTCCCTATTTAAGCAATGAAACTCAATTTATGTATTTCACACACAGTACAGAACAAATGAACACAAATGGGTTGTACCGTGTAATCATTTTACTTCATTCACACGTGTGAAGTTTACCTTACATTTTACCTTACCTCTTGTTGCATATAATCTGTAAAAATCAGCAATTAAAAAAAAAAAAAAAAAAAAACCTTCAATTTATCATTTGAAAGTGAACGGATGACTGGAAAGACTAGTTAAAAACCAACCGATACATTTAATTAGCATTGCTTTTCATTCAAATGAGTGCACAACAATATTGAGAACATATGATCTTTAAGTTAATGATGGGAAACACTCAGGTACACACACACACACACTCGCGCACACACACACACACACACACACTACAGACAGACAGACACAGACAGACACACACACACACACACACACACACACACACACACAGACAGACACACACACCTGTGGTGCGGCGCCAAGTCCTGCTAAACCCAACCTGAATGAAGTCCAAACTCTGATTAACAGCTTTTACTCACAGAAAAAAAATCCCTTTACTGTTCTGAGCAGAGCCAGATGCACATGTTTAGCACTGGTTTTTAGGAAAAATCTGCACAATTATGTACATGAGGCATTCACATGGGTGATGAATTGGATTCTTTTATTATGGTCAAATCATCAAATGCTGTCGACATGCTTGTCCTTGAAGGAAAAAACAAACAAATAAAATGTGACACACACACACACACACACGCGCGCGTGCACGCACCCTGAAACAACCCCTAAGTCATTTATTCAAGTTTGAATCATTTTTCAAGTATTTTGCAATCAATCTTTCTGCCCTGTCTAAATAAATGTGGTCCATGAGTCGTTCATAAAACTATGGAAGCCCATTTTTGCCACTGAATTAAAAAAAAAAAGAAAAGGTAATTGCAACTTATTTTTCTCACAATTCTGACTTTTTTTCTGACTTAATTTCCCAGAATTGCAACTTTATATCATAATTCTGACTTTTTTTCTCACGATGGCGTGTTTATATCTCAAGTTTATATCTCACAATTCTGACTTTTTTTTTTTTTGAGAAAAAAAAGTCAGAATTGTGAGATAAAAAGTCGCAGTTACCTTTTTTATTTTTTATTCAGTGGCAGAAATGGGTTCCCATATAAAACAAATCAAATAAGAACAAAAAAAAATGACATAAAATACATTAAGTAGAAAAATATTCCATTGATTAATAAACCTATACACCGAGAAAAAAGGCTGCTTTGGTCACTTTTTTTTCAGTGCAGTCAGCTGACATTCGAAGATTCGTCCAATGAAAAGGCTCAGCCAAGCCCCACGTCCAGTGACATCATGACGATGAAGCCCAGAATGGACGTCCATGAGGCCAGTTTGCCATTCCCGCTGTGAAAGAAACACACATTCAGTGGCGTATGAACATCTGCAGTCTTTCCAGTGAACGCTTGTTTACGGTGCTGCTGCTCACCTGACTTGGGCTTCAGGAATGATGTCATCCACCACCACATACACCATGGCTCCTGCAGCGAAGGCCAGAGCGTACGGTAGCAACGGCTCCGCCAGCACCACGGCAACGGCCCCTAGCAACCCCGCCAGAGGCTCCACCATCCCGCTCAGCTGCCCGTACCTGTGAGGCAGACACACGCACATACAACACTAGGACAGATCACTGCAGCACTTTGAACTACTCAATTAACAGGTTTTAGAGCGCCTCAGAAATTAGGACATATTAGGAATAAATTAAGACAAATAGATCATAATAAATGTTTGTGACTGTGGCATTGGTCCAAAGTCTAGAGAGCTGACTACATAAGCAGCTTCCTTCTAAGACAGAATGCTAGATTAGTAGACTAGCAGTTCACCAATATATCGCCAAGGCTAATATTTATTGGCAGAATTTTGGCTTTGTATGTATTTTTCAAATACATTTTTTTTTTTCAAATTTCTTCTTTTTTTTTTTTTTTTCCTGTTTAGCCGATAAGTGGGACTTAAAGGTAATTTCTATTATTATTATAATTTTTTTAAATGAAGTATTTATGTTTGGCCAACAAGTGTTGAAAGCAGGACATCAACAGTATTTTATTTATTTATTTATTTTTCTGTTTGGCCCATAAGTGTCAGAAGCAGGTCTTAAACAGTAATTATTATATATATATATATATATATATATATATATATATATATATATATATTTTTTT